TCCTCTGGAGGGCCAGCAACAGGGCAGAGAGGCCGAGGCCTTCCCCTGATAAGAGCATCAGAAGAGCCCTGCTGGGTCAGACCGGGGAGGGTCCCTCTAGTCCAGCCTCCCGTCTCACACAGGGGCCAGCCAGTCCCTCTGGAGGGCCAGCAACAGGGCAGAGAGGCCGAGGCCTTCCCCTGATAAGGACACCAGAAGAGCCCTGCTGGGTCAGACCAGGGAGGGTCCTTCTAGTCCAGCATCCTGCCTCACACAGGGGCCAGCCAGTTCCTCTGGAGGGCCAGCAACAGGGCAGAGAGGCCGAGGCCTTCCCCTGATAAGAGCATCAGAAGAGCCCTGCTGGGTCAGACCAGTGAAGGTCCTTCTAGTCCAGCCTCCCGTCTCACACAGGAGCCAGCCAGTTCCCCTGGAGGGCCAGCAACAGGGCAGAGAGGCCGAGGCCTTTTCCTGAGAAGGACACCAGGAGAGCCCTACTGGGTCAGACCAGGGAGGGTCCCTCTAGTCCAGCCTCCCGTCTCACACAGGGGCCAGCCAGTCCCTCTGGAGGGCCAGCAACAGGGCAGGGAGGCCGAGGCCTTCCCCTGAGAAGGACACCAGAAGAGCCCTGCTGGATCCGACCAGTGAGGGTCCATCTAGTCAAGCCTCCCGTCTCACACAGGGGCCAGCCAGTCCTTCTGGAGGGCCAGCAACAGGGTAGAGAGGCCGAGGCCTTCCCCTGATAAGACCCTCAGAAGAGCCCTGCTGGATCAGACCAGGGAGGGTCCATCTAGTCCAGCATCCCGTCTCACACAGCTGCCGACCAATTAGTTTACCAGCAATGCAATGCACAAGTACAGAACAATGGACTCCACCATGGACTGAATAGGGACACTGGATTCTTATCTCACTGCAGAGGCTGATTTCCTGCCCCCCAAAGCATTTCCTCTCTGCTCTAATCAAGCCGATTCCAATACGCACAGTACCTTTGCCTCCTTTACAAGCACTCTTGGCAGCACCCCTCCCACCATCTGACTGGGATAAAATGGCTCAGAAATCTCCATTTCTAATCGACTTCAGTCTGACGAAGGGTGCTTTGACTCTGAGAACCCTGAACCTCTTGTTGGTCTTTACGTGCTCCCAGACTTGAAACTAACAGTTCCCCAGCTGTCACTTTTCAAGTATTTCAGACTCCTCCTCCTAAATTATTGGTCAGGTCCACAGGGTGACAAAAGTCAAGACTGTTCTAATCCACATTTTGTTAGAAGAGAAGAAGAAGAGACTGGATTTATACCCCGCCCTTCACTACCCAAAGGAGTCTCAGAGCAGCTTACAATCTCCTTTCCCTTCCCCTCCCCCACAACAGACACCCTGTGACTAGGGAGGTGGGGCTGAGAGAGCTCTTGACAGAAACTGCTCTGTTTCAAGAACAGCTGTGCCAGAACTATGGCTTGCCCAGGGTCATCCAGCAGCTGCGAGTGGAGGAGTCGGGAATCAAACCCGGTTCTCCCAGATTAGAGTCCGCGCACTCAACCACTACACCAAACTGGCTTTTACATTTTGTAAACTCGAAAGCTCGTATCTTGAGACCATCACGTTGGTCTCTAAGGCTCTCCTGGATTCGAAAAGTGGCTGTTCTACTAGTGGAATGACTCCCTCTGAGCTGTTCCGCCTGCTCCTCCCACCCCTGCCCCACCGCCACCTTTCAAGGTCTCACCAGGCACTCGAGCAGCCGGGCCGGACGGGAGATGATGATCAGCAGCTTCTTTACCAGCTGAGTGACGAAGGTCACCTCCTCGCTCTCGGATCGCTCGTAGGCCTAGAAGCAACAAAAGAGGGCGTTTGTCAGAGAAGTCGGCGGGAATCTCCAGGTCCCTCCATGGCCCTTCTGACCCCAAAGTTTCTGGAGTCCCAGATGCCTCACGATGACCGTTACGGGCAGTTTCTTATGAACGTTTCACCATCGGCTCCTAAATCCAGCATTCTCCAGAGAGACCCTTCCAATCCAACCTGGGACGGCGACACTAGTGAGGCATGCTTCTGGGTAACAAAAATGAGGAACACGCATACTGGGTAGGGGATACAGTTAGAATCATAGAATGTTAAGTTGGAAGGGACCTTGCAGGTCATCTAGTCCAACCCCCTGCACTCTGCAGAAGCAGAGCCGAAAGAGAGCCCTACAACATACCCGAAAGATGGTCGTCCAGCCTCTGCTTGAAAACGTCCAGCGAAGGAGCCTCCACCACCTCCCGAGGCAGACTGCTCCACTGCTCAACCACTCTGACAGTTAGGAAGTTTCTCCTGATATTTAGCCGGTATTGACTCCCTTGTAATTTCCACCCATTAGATGTAGTCTTGCAATCCGGAGCAAGAGAGAATAGATCTGCTCTATCTTCTACATGACAGCCCTTCAAATACTTGAAGACTGCAATCGTGTCCCCTCTACGCCTTCTCTTCCTCCAGGCTAAACAGACCCAACTCTTTCAGCCTTTCCTCCTAAGACTTGGATTCCAACCCTCTCACCCTCCTGGTTGCCCTCTCCTGGACACGCTCGAGCTTGTCAACATCCTTCCTCTAATGTGGTGCCCAAAACTGGGAACAGGACTCAAGGTGAGGCCTGACCATGGCAGACTAGTGCGGAACGACCACCTCCCATGATCTGCACACAATGCTTCTGTTAATGAAACCTAAGATTGCATTAGCTTTCCTCGCAGTCACATCACACTGCAGGCTCATGTTTAGCTTGTGATCACTCAGAACACCCAGATCCCTTTCACGTGTGCTGCTGTCAAGCCAAGTCCCTCCCGTTCTATATCTGTGCCTTTGATTGTGGTCCGAAAGTTAAATATGAGCAGACAGTGTGATGCGGCGGCAAAAAAGGCTAATGCAATCTTGGGCTGTATCAACATAGGCATCACATCCAAACTGCAATAAGCTGTACACTGCATTGGTCAGGCCGCACCTCGAGTCCTGTGTGCAGTCCTGGAGGCCTCACTTCAAAAAGGATGTAGGCAGAACGGAGCGTGTGCAGAGGAGAGCGACGAGGATGATCGGGGGCCTGGAGACCAAGCCCTATGAGGAAAGTCTGAGGGACTTCTTGGGAATGTTTAGTCTGGAGAAGAGGAGGTTGAGGGGGGGACAGGATGGCTCTCTCGAAGTCTTTGAAGGGCTGTGTCATTTAGAGGAGGGCAGGGAGCCTTTCCGGTTGGCAGCAGAGGAGAGGACTCGCGATAAGGGGTTTAAATTAAGGGCGGGAAGGTACCGGCTGGATATTAGGAAAAACGTTGTGACAGTCAGAGTTGTGCAACAGTGGGATCTAGGGTTGCCAGTCCCCAAGTATGGCCTGGGGATCTCCCGCTTTTACAACTGATCTCCAGCTGACAGAGATCAGCTCCCCTGGAGAAAATGGCTGCTTTGGAGGGTGGACTCTGTGGCATTGGACCCTGCTGAGGCCCCTCCCCTCCCCAAACCCCACCCTCTCCCAGCTCCGCCTCCAAAGTCTCCAGGTATTTTCCAACCCAGACCTGGCAACCCTAGTGGGATCAGCTGCCTGGGGAGGTGGTGAACTCCCCCTCGCTGGCAGTCTTTAAGCAGACCCTGCATTGAGCAGGGGGTCAGACTATATGGCCTCTAGGGACCCTTCCGACTCTGTGTGATTCTATGATTCCACCAAGCGACAGCCCCTTCTGCGAGACGTCCCGCCCTCACGTCTTTCAGCAGCTTCTCCATGTTCTCCTGCAGCTCGTAGAAATAGACGGTGGTGATGAGGCCTTCCTGGGACTTGGCCAAACAATCCCGGGCTAGCTCGATGACCTGGTGGTGGATGAAGCTGAGGGCCCCGTCGGCCAAAGGCAACACGCTGTCCGGTTCGTAGTTCTTGGTGAAATCCTTCAGCTTCTCTTCCATCTGAGCCGTGGCCTGTTCGGGTCAGAAACGGAGGTTCGGGTCAGGGTGGAAAACAGGACTTGTTCAAGGAACCCGGGAGGGTGAGGCCTAGCTCCTTTCCCAAAGCCAAGATAAGGGAGAGCCAGGGGATTTGGGGTCCCAAACGACCCACTGTACTCTGTTTGATCCTCAGATTAAAGAAACAACAAAATTCTGGCTCGTGAGAACCTTTGTGTTTAAGTAACACAATTGGCATGTCACAACTATTCCTTAGTCCATACCTTTTCAGTGGCGGCTCCATACTGGTGGAATGAGCTCTGTACTGGTGGAATCACGGCCCTGCCGGACCTTTTACAGTTCCGCAGGGACTGCAAGACGGAGCTCTTCCACCAGGCCTTCGATCGGGGAGCCACACCTACAAAACTGAGGTCCTGGCCCCGATATTAACATCATTAACAGCCTGATACAACCCAGGCTATGATGTTAGCTGACTGTATGCCTGTTGGATGCTGCTACTCAGGGGTCATTTCGTAGAAAAAGAGGTGCAGGGGCTCATTAGCGATAACTCATTAGCATGACTTATTTGCATATGCCACACACCCTGACATCACCGGAAGTGTGTCAGAAGGCAACACCCACCGCTCAGGCGCCACTGGACTGTTTTGGACAGCTAGCTATTGGGGGGGAGGGGGAATGTGCAAATCTGTCCTCACAGAGGAGAGAGAGCTTGTGCCTGAATAAAACCTGGTCTTAAAGGTGCCACTGGACGGTTTTGGACCCGTCGGCTCTGCAACTTACCTGGCTGCTTCTTGCTCTGACTGCTGGGAGCAGGGGGTGGGGCTTGTGGCATCTGCAAATGAGTTATGCTAATAGGTTATGCTAATGAGCTCCTGCCAGTCCAGTGGCACCTTTAAGACCAAGTTTTATTCAGGTACAAGCTCTCCCTCCTCTGCGAGGACAGATCGGCACGTTCCCCCCCCCACCAATAGCTAGCAATCCGAAACAGTCCAGTGGAGCTCGAGTGGTGGGTGTTGCCTTCTGACACACTTCCGGTGATGTCAGGGGGTGTGGCATATGCAAATAAGTTATGCTAATGAGCTCCCGCACCTCTTTTTCTGCGAAATGACCCCTGCACCTATCCATCTGTTAACCCAAATAATAGGCTAAAGAGCCACACAACCCGTGACTGTCAGGAGTGTGACTGGGTTTTAATGTTTATTATTGTTTGAATTCCTAACTTGTTTAATTTTAATCGTATTTACTGGACTGCTTTTATGGTGCTACCCGCCCTGAGCCCGCTTGCGGGATGGGCGGGCTATAAATTCAAATAATAAATAAATAAATACTTCTCCATATAAGCGACAACGGCACTTCGTATTCAGGTACCATTGGCTCCTGATTGGTCCTGAGCCAGACCTGATTCTTTCCCTTTTAAAAAAATCTTTCTCAACATATTTTTTTTTTTTGGGGTGGTGGAATATTGTTAATTGTTGTCCTTACACGAGACCGAGACCCAGAAAATGCCTTCTTTGACTAGATGCTGTGTCTCTGAGCGACGGGGTTCAGAGCGATTCCGGTCCCTTTTCCCCGCTTCCCCACTCAGAAATGGCGCTTGGCCATTCCTCCGGTCTCCAGGTCAGGCAGTCCCCGCAGGAGGGCCTTTTGATACAAAAGCTCTTACCTTGGGGAACCGCTCCTTGTAGACATGATTCATCATCACTATCTCATTGTCGTGGGAAGAGGGAGACCGGCCCGGGCTGCAAAGGAAGAAGAAGGCATCAAAGGTCCGTTGTAATCTCTTCTGACCCCCTTAGGGCAGGGGTGTCGAACTCATTTGTTATGAGGGCCGGGTCTGCCATCAATGAGACCTTGTTGGGCCGGGCCCTGTGTGTCATAAAATGTAACGCCAGAAAGCAGAGACAGAAACTTTATAAAGGACACAAACACAAAGGGTTTTTTTTTTAACCTTAAAATAAAAAAACACTTAAAACATGAGCACTCTTGCAATATTTTGTTTATTGAACAGTGTCTGATAACCATCACCTCTTGGTCTGAGTCACTGCATCAAAACGTCTGTGCTGCTGCAATCTTGAGTGTGCTGCTCAGGTGCGTATCTGTAAGATGCAAACCTACAATGACGCAGCAGCAACAGAGCAACAGAACTTGAAGAAGCAGCAGAAGACAGCCAGTTCCACTGCGGGCCTGATAGAAGCCCTCCAGGGGGCCTGATCCGGCCCCCAGGCCGTAAGTTTGACACCCCTGCCTTATGGTCCCCATGTTCCTGGATCCTATACAGCGGGATTCTTCTTGTTATTTTTAATCTAAATATGTATTTGTTGCCAATGATGTGCTAGATGTTGTACAGAACTTGGCCCCAGGCAGTGTTCCCTCTAAGCTGAGTGAGTGTGAGCTAGCTCACAGTGTTTTAGCCTCTGGCTCACACATTTTTGTCTTAGCACAGGAAGGATGGCTCCAGAGCACTAGCCAAATCGCTCGCTCACAACTTTTAATGCCAGTAGCTCACAAAGCAGAAGTTTTGCTCACAAGGCTCCACGGCTTAGAGGGAGCATTGGCCCCAGAGCTTCCATTTTACATCATATGCAACAGAGAGTTTGGCAAGGGGCCGAAGGAGTGACAGTTAGCCACAGTGCGGAACAAGGGGATGTGAGCTGGTGAAAGGGGAGCAGGTTTGAGCCAATCCAGGGGTCATTTTCTGCGGGAGTGCACAGGAGTGGCGCTCCGGCAGTAAGGAGCCCAGGGCAGTAAGGAGCCCATGCAACAAGGCCTAGCCCCTGCTCCCAGCAGCCCTCAGTCAGAGCAAGAAGCAGCCAGGTAAGTTGCAGAGGCCCCCCCCCGCCCACCTTCAGGTACAAGCTCTCCCTCCTCTGTGAGGGCAGAACGGCGAGTCCCCCACCCCCAATAGCTAGCAATCCAAAACAGTCCAGTGGCACCTTTAAGGCCAAGTTTTATCCAGGTCTCCTGCCAACCTAGCAGTTCGAAAGCAAGAAATTGCAAGTAGATAAATAGGTACCACTTCAGTGGGAAGGTAAACAGCGTCCCGTGCGCCTTGGTGTTTAGTCATGTCGGCCACATGACCACGGAGACGTCTTTGGACAGCGCTGGCTCTTCGGCTTTGAAACGGAGATGAGCACCGCAACCCTAGAGTCGGATCCCAAAACAGTCCAGTGGAGCCTGAGCGGTGGGTGTTGCCTTCTGCCACACTTCTGGTGATGTCAGGGGGTGTGGCATATGCAAATACGTTTTTCTGCAAAATGACCCCTGGAGCCAACATTACCCTTTTCCCCACGTAAGAGCGGAAGAGGGCAAGCGTCCAGGGCCGGCTCGCCCGCTAGGCGAACTAGGCCTTCGCCTAGAGCGCAAGCTGGCCGTGAGGGCGCAGGAGGAGAGGCAGGGGCGGCCGCTATGCCTGGCCAACAGCCGGGAGGAGCTCTGCCTCCCGGCTGCACGAGGAGGACACGCGGCGGTGGTGTGGGCAGGGCGCGGCGCCTTCCTCCTCCTGCCGCTGCCGCCTCCTTCTTTATCGGCCACTCCTGCGTGGCTGGGGGTGGGGGGGCCAGCCGCCGCCGCTGCCGCCCTGGGGAGGAGGGAGAGGGGAGGGAGCTACGTGCAGGCGGTGCTGCGGGGCACCTGCCCGGCCAAGGAGGAGCTGGAGCGGGTGCGGGCCTCCGAGGCCGGTGAGTAGCCGCGATGGGCGCACGGCAGCTGGGGGGAGAGGTGGGGCTGTCAGCGGGAAGTGGCGGCGGCGGCAGCTAGGGCTCGTCCGCGAAAGGAGGCCAGGCTCGCGACCCAGAGGAGAGGGGACGACCGAGGGAGCCCCTTCTCTGGCAGAATCCCCCGTCGGTCAGCGATGGCGCTGGGTCCCCTCTTCCCACCCACCGAGGAGAACTCACAACCGCAAGCCAGGCTTCTAATGCACGTCGGGGCTCGCCGGCCTCCCCACCCTGACCTAGAGGCCTCTCCCCTACTGGCACTTTCCTGGGACAGCCTGGGGCTTGCTCCCTCGGGGCGCCCTCTGCTGACCTGACCAGGCCGGGGGAGTCGGTTCTGAGAGGCTCTCTGGGGACGCGTCCTTGCTCTGCAGGCGCCGCAGTTTCTGGCTTGGATCCGGCCGCTCTGTCTGCAAGGCCGAGAGAGCGGGAGCGCGGGAGAGCCTGCTCACGCCCAGCCACACTGGGGAAGCAGGCGAAACTCGGGAGGGGCCCGGCTCCAGCTGGCCAGAGGGGGCTCTTCGGTTGGCGGGGTGGGGGGAATAGGCCGAGAGCAGGCGAAGAGGTTCGGCGCAGCACTGCGAGGGGGTCCGAGAAAAATCCTGGCCCCGCGTTTGCTCTCCCGGTGCCTGGGCCAGTCCGGGTCGTGGCTTGAGGGGGGGGGATCTTGGCCCCCCGCAACCCTGCTCCGCCTTTCTCGTCCTCTCCTGCTCGGCTGCGGCCAAGAAAGAAGGCGGTGGGGGGGAGGGGCGCGCCGGGGACGTGCAGACCCAGACCCCCCCCACACACACACACCCCGCCCACCACGGGGAAAAGACGCCCAGAGCGCGTCTCCAGGCCCCGCCGGGAGGTTGGCATCTGCGCTCACCTAGCGCGCAGGACAACCTCGGGCCGGCCCTGCAAGCGTCCAGGAGCACCTTCCAAGACTAACGAAATTTGTGGCAGGGGAGGAGCTTTCGTGAGTCACGGCTGGCTTCCTTCAGATAACTCACAAAAGCTCCTCCCCTGCCGCAGATTTCGTTAGTCTTTCAGGTGCTCCTGGACGCTGGCTCTTTTCTACTGCTACGGACAGATTTTCAGGGTATGAACTCCCTGCGTCAGATACTTTGACTCTTGGAAGCTCATACCCCCAACATCCAGTTGGTCCCTTAAGGTGTTACAGGACTCAAATCTAAGTCTTCTGCTGCAAACCGACACAGCGACTCATACCCAGGTCGCAAAGGGAGGTTGCAGTTCCGGGGATTCTCGGCTGTTCCGCACTCACCTGAGGCTCCGGGACCGGGGCCGCACCGCGGGGGACCGCCGGCCCCCATCGTCATCGGTGATGCTCTCTGTGCTGCCGAAATGCTTGGAAAGGAAGTGCAGCTCGTCAACGGTGGGCTGATAAGGCAGCTGGTGAAGGCGCTCTTGAGAGGAACAGGACGACTGGGAAGAAGAGAAAAGATGGTCACGGCCCCCACCACGCTTTAGCTCATGTCGAAGTGCAGGTGGCTCTGGCGTAGAGCACGACTGACATCTGGGCACCCGCGTCGCCCCGCGCTCGGCGCAAAAAGCAGTGCCGGCACAAAGCCCACCTTCGTTGCGTGGGCTGTGAAAGTCTTCCGACACACAAAGCAAAACGTAACTCAACTGGCGGGTAAATGCAGTGGCTGGAGAGAAGGAACCTGGAATTACTGCGCAGAATTTTTAATCTGGGGTCCGTCCACATGTCAGCAGGCTGACTCCCCCTTCCAGTTCCCAGCATTATTTATTTCATTTACATTATTACAGACAGCGAGTCGATACAATCGACAGGATGGGACATTCGATAAGCAATGCGATAGGACTAGGGTTGTAGAACCGACCAGAAATCTAAAAAAAACCAGAACTGAAAGCAAAGCTGAAGGGTCAAACAGGGCATATTAAATGATGCAGAATTATACATTAGGATCCTGGTTTCAGCAAGACACACACACGGTAGTACAGACCACAGTCCCTAAACATTTTCCCAAGCGACTTTGTGAATCATTTTGTACAGTGCAAGTCTATTCCCCGGGTAGAAAAGCCCCCTTGAAGAATTCCGTTTTGCACCGTCTGCAGGAAGCTGAGAGAGCGGGAACCTTCCTGACTTCCTTGGGCAGGCCGTTCCAGAAGGTGGGTCCACCACAGAGAGAGCATGGCTATGGGCATCCATTGGGATACCTCAGGAGGAGACTGTGACGAAGGGTGATCGCTCAAAAGGGGTCATCGTCTCACTGACAGGTCATGTAGATCTTTCCTCCACAACAGCCAGGAAGGAGGAAAAACGGCCTGGCTTACACAACAAAGACCGCCACCGCCCCCCGGCTCTGGCCAGTGAACACTCAACGGTCTCTTGGGGTGCGTTCAGATGCGCCATTTGATCTGGTGTCCTCACGCTTCAGAAATTGATTTTATCCGCACGATCACACGGTCAACGTCTGCCTCCCGTCCCCAGCCGTTGGTTTCCGGCTCAAAACCGCTTTAACCCGGAGGATTTTCCACGCTTTAGCTCAGGCCGAAGTGCAGGTGGCTCTGGCGTAGAGCACAACTGACATCTGGGCACCCGCGACGCCCCGCGCTCGGCGCAAAAAGCAGCGCCGGCACAAAGCCCGCCTTCATTGCGTGGGCTGTGAAAGTCTTCCGACACACAAAACAAAATGTAACTCAACTGGCGCGTAAATGCAGTGGTTGGAGAGAAGGAACCTGGAATTACTGCGCAGAATTTTTAATCTGGGGTCCACATGTCAGCAGGCTGACTCCCCCTTCCAGTTCCCAGCATTATTTATTTCATTTACATTATCACAGAGAGCGAGTCGATACAATCGACAGGATGGGACATTCGATAAGCAATGTAATAGGACTACGGTTGTAGAACCGACCAGAAATCTAAAAAAACAGAACTGGGCAATCTAGGCCTATGGGCATGCGCAAACGGAGAATTTTTTTTAAAAAACCCCACTGACACATGCTCCTGTGCGTCGGTAGTGTAGACGCTGGGGAGCAACATGACTGCGCGGTGAGGCGGGATAAGGGAGGTAAGTGTGATCGCGATTATCCAGATCAAATATAATCCGGTTAGAACTGGAGCAGTTTAACCCGCTCTCAGCACACCATCTGACCGCACCCAGAGTGTGTGTGGGAGGGTGCCTGAGCAAGTGTAATCGGTGGGTTTATTACATATTTATTCAGGGTCCTTTTTGTAGCAGGAACTCCTTTGCATATTAGGCGACAACCCCCCCATAATGTATCCAATCCTCCAAGAGCTTATAGAACTCTTCTTACGGGGGCTACTGTAAGCTCTTGGAGGACTGGATACATTATGGGGGGGTGTCGCCTAAAATGCAAAGGAGTTCCTGCTACAAAAAGGGGCCTGTATTTACTTATTTAAAATATTTATTAGCTGCCTTTCAACCTTGGGGCTCTCGAGGTGGCTTACGATGTAAATAGAACAGCGATGGTAAAAACACATTCAAGCCCCACAATCCTAAATAAAACCATCTTCGACTGCCTCCCTAAAGATCGAAAGCGAGGGCGCAAGGGGCACCTCCACGGAGAGGCTGTTCCGTCATCATTCCGTGAACGGTGCAGAACTGTATCTATTTATTCATCCCTGTGTATCATTTATAGTTGTATGGTACAGTTGATCTCAACGGGTTGGATCCGGACTACATGTTCCGCTTGCAAAGGGGCTTCTGACAGTAGAACAGAACATTCCCGTCTCTTCCTCACCCTCCTCCAGCACAGCCCCACTGATCCCAAAAAAATACTGCCTTAGTGGTACAGGGGAGCTTCAGTAACAGCACAAAACACCAATCGGGAGCCTGCACCAGGAACTGGTGGAAATTACCCCACTCCTTTCCATTAGCGGAACTAGCCATCCAGGTCAGGGCAAGAGACAAACAGAGGTGGGTTTGCCATTGCCTGCCTCTGCGTAGCAACCCTGGTCTTCCTTGGTGGTCTCCCATCCAAGTACTAACCAGGGCCGACCCTGCTCAGCTTCTGAGATAAGATTAGGCTAGTCTGGCCTATTCACATCAAGGCAAGAGACCTGCAGAGGTGGTTGGTCATTGCCTGCCTCTGCGTGGCAACCCTGGACTTCCTCGCTGGTCTTCCATTCCAAGTACTAACCAGGGCTGGCCCTGCTTAGCTTCTGAGATCTGAACAGACAGGGCTAGCCTGGGCTATCCAGGTGAAGGCAAGGGACAAACAGAGGTGCTTTGCCCTTGCCTGCCTCTGCGTAGCAACCCTGGACTTCCTCGGCGGTCTCCCCTCCAAGGACTAACCAGGGGCCAACCCTGCTCAGCTTCTGAGATCTGACGAGATCGGGCTAGTCTGGCCTATTCACGTCAAGGCAAGAGACCTGCAGAGGTGGTCTGCCCTGAGCACCGCAACCCTAGAGTCGGACTCGACTAGCTTTCGAGCAAGGGAACCTTGACCTTTACCTATACGATGATATCCGAGACTGAGCCCTACGGGGAAAGGCAGAGGTACCCTGCTTGGCTTTTGAGATCTGACGAGAAAAATCAACATCGGGACTGCCAGTGAATAAGAAACACCCTAAGATTAGCCAAAATGCAGTCCTAAATAAAACCATCTTCGACTGCCTCCCTAAAGATCGAAAGCGAGGGCGCAAGGGGCACCTCCACGGAGAGGCTGTTCCGTCATCATTCCGTGAACGGTGCAGAACTGTATCTATTTATTCATCCCTGTGTATCATTTATAGTTGTATGGTACAGTTGATCTCAACGGGCTGGATCCAGACTACATGTTCCGCTTGCAAAGGGGCTTCTGTCAGCAGAACTGAACATTCCCGTCTCTTCCTCACCCTCTTCCACCACAGCCTCACTGATCCCCAAAAAATACTGCCTTGGTGGTACAGGGGAACCTCAGTAACAGCACAAAACACCTATCGGGAGCCTGCACCAGGAACTGGTGGAAATTACCCCACTCCTTTCCGTTAGCGGAACATCTATTCTGGATCCAGGCCCGTCTCTCCGATCTAGCGCTGACACTGACGCTTAAACGGTTCCCGGATTCAGTCATCTCCTTCCCAAGAAGATCTTACCGATACGGTGGAACTGGGAGTGTTGGTTCCATATCCAGACGACGGCAGGGATGCCTGTTTCAGAGGATCTACTGTCTCTTCTTGGCCGGTCTGCACTACGTCCGTTCTTCATTCCCAAGGCCAGTTCCCATTGCCAGAAATGGCAGCACGGTGATGGTAACTAGTGATGGTGGTGGCTCCTACTCGAAAGCCTGGTGGAAGAGCTCCGTCTTGCAGGCCCTGCGGGACTGCATAAGGTCCCGCGGGGACCTGATCTCCTCCGGGAGCTCGTTCCACCAGGTAGGAGCCGCCACCGAAAAGGCCCTGGCCCTAGTCGCAGCATATTTGACATCTCTAGGGGCTGGGACAGCCAGAAGTAGTGCCCTTGGGGGAACATATGGGGAAAGGCGGTCCCTCAGGTAAGCTGGACCCTGGCCATATAGGGCTTTAAAGGTAAGAACCAGAAGAGAGCTTTGACTCTTGAAAGCTTAAACCCTCATCATTTCGTTGGCCTCTAAGGCACGACTGGACTAGAATCCGGCTCGTCTACGGCAGACCAACACCGTTGTCTACCCTCTGAAATGAGCGAGAATCGCTTCTGATTAAAATCCATGAGATTTTGGCATTTTAAGAAACGCGCTTGGCGGGAAACAATCTACGCCAGCTTCCAGGGCAGAAGGGTGTAGAGAAGACAGATGTCTCTGAATGCCAAACTGTAGATTCCGTCTCAAACCCGACTTCCCCTAGGCATGCCAAGCGGTTTTCCAAAGGAAGCGTTTACATCAGAGTCTCCTTGATGGGTGGAAAAGGGCCATCAGATCGCAGCTGGCGGATGGCGACCCCGGTGGCGTTTTCAAGGCAAGAGACATTCAGAGGTGGTCTTGCCCATTGCCTGCCTCTGCGTAGCCACCCTGGACTTCCTTGGAGGTCTCCCATCCAAGGTCTAACCAGGCCTGACCCTGCTTAAGCTTCCAAGATCTGAAAAGATGGAGCTACCCCGGGTCATCCAGGTCAGGGCAAAGAATCGTTAGACATCCATTTACAGGCTGAAATTATGTCCCCTGGAAACAAGCTGGAGAGCCAGCTTGGTGTCGTGGTTAAGTGCGCCGACTCTAATCTGGGAGAACCGGGTTCGAGTGCCCACTCCTCCACATGCAGCTGCTGGGGTGCTCTTGGGTCAGTCACAAGTTCTCTCGGGGCTCTTCTCTCAAGGGGAGTCCTCGAAAGAGCTCTCTCGGCCCCGGCCGACCTCGCAGGGTGTCTGTGGTGGGGAGGGGGAGGGAAAGGAGATTGGAAGCCGCTCTGAGACTCTGAGTGAAGGGCGGGGTATAAATCCAATTTCTCTTCTTCTTCTTCTTCATCAGAGACTTTTGCTGGGGTTAACTGGCATTTCAGTACTGCCCTGACATTTTGGCAATGCCATGACATTGGCACTCGGGTTTGGATCTGTAAGACCTCGGGTTCTGCTCCACCAACAGGAAGAAGAAGATGAAGAAGAAGAAGAAGAGAAATTGGATTTATACCCCGCCCTTCACTACCCAAAGGAGTCTCAGAGTGGCTTACAAACTCCTTTCCCTTCCCCTCCCCACAACAGACACCCTGTGAGGTAGGTGGGGCCGGGAGAGCTCTTTCGAGGACTGCTCCAGAGAGAACAGCTCTGAAAGAACTTATGACTGACCCAAGGTCATCCAGCAGCTGCACGTGGAGGAGTAGGGAATCAAACCCGGTTCTCCCTGATTACAGTCCGCGCACTTCACCACTACACCAAACAGGGTCATCTCGGTTTTTTGTCCCCCACCAGCTGCACCTCAGAGGCATGCTGCTTCTAAATAGCCAGTGTGTCTAGTGGTTAAAAGTGTCGGACTAGTGTCTGGGAGATCTGGGTTCGAATCCCCACTCGTGCCACGGAAGCTTGCTGGGTGACCTTGGGCCACTCGCATTCTCTCCGCCTACCTCATAGGGTTGTCGTGAGGATAAAACAGTGGAGGGGGAAACGATGTAAGCCGCTTTTGTTTCCCATTGGGGAAGAAGGTGGGGTAGGAATGAATGAATGAATGAATGAATGAATGAATTAATTAATTAATGAAATATGTAAGGACTCAAAAATGCACTGCTTCTTAACATTTAGCCAACCCAGCCCTGGCTTCAGGTTTTCAGCAGAGGTTTGGACTAGATGTCCTCTGGGACTGTACTGCTAATAATGATTGATGGGCTTACCCCATCATGAATCTGACCCAGCATTTAAAAAAACAGCAACAGCAATCCAGCCTTGTGACCTGCACCATGTATTCAGGCTGTCAGTTCCGTAACTTAACTATGCGCTGCATTAAAAAGGCACTTGCTTTTGTCTGTCCTGAACCTACTACCACCTACTACCAACCAGGGGATGAAAGAGAAAACCTATCTACTTTCTCAATACTGTTTACAGCTTTATGAACTTCTTTTGTGCCCCCCCCAATTAACCCCCCCCCCCCCGATATGCTAAACCTTTCCACACAGGAAACAGGCTCCAACTCCTTGGACATTTTTCATTTCCCCCCACCCCTTCCCTGGAGGTTCGGCAACTATTGATGACATCCAGGGGTCATTCCCCCCCGCCACCATCAGCATATACTTACAGAGGCAAAACTTTACGTATGAAAGCAGCCAACAAGTTGTGGTGAACCAACACGTTCCTGGTCAACCAGAAATAAGGAGGCTTCATCCTCTTAAGCCGGGACGGAAACCAACTGACCGACCAACTGCGTGAGCTCACTGTATGAGCCAATGGCGTCACAGAGGGATGAAAGCAGTGTTAAGTGGGAGCTGGGGTTGCCAGGTACACCACGGCAACTGGCGAGGGGGGGGGGATGCTTGGCGGCAGGAGGTAGGGTTCCCAACCTCCAGGGGGCTTCATATATCGATTTAGAAGGAGAAGAGATTGGATGTATACCCCGCCCTTCACTACCCAAAGGACTCTCAGAGGGGCTTACAAACTCCTTTCCCTTCTCACAACAGACACCCCTGAGAGAGCTCTTGACAGAAACTGCTCTTTTTCGAGAACAACTCTGAGAGAACTATGCCTTGCCCAAGGTCATCCAGCCAGGTGCAAGCGGAGGAGGAGTGGGGAATCAAACCCGGTTCTCCCAGATTAGAGCCCACGCACTTAACCACGACACCAAACTGGCTCTCAATAGAGACCCTTGTGTATCTTATACATATTCATAATAATACAAAAACCCAGGGCTATTTTTGGGCAGGAACGCACGGGAACGGAGTTCCGCCTGGCCCCAGGTTGACCACGCCCAGCAGGAACTCATTAGCATAATAGGCCACACCCAATAGCAGAAACTCATTAGGATTGGCTACATTAGGGGTGTGGCCTAACATGCAAAGAAGTTCCTGCTACAAAAAAAGCCCAGGGTTTTGACAAGAAACAAGGTCAACAGAATAAGAAGCAAAAGGTGGGTGTGGCTGGATGAGCACACTTCTGGTAACATGGGGGTGCGGCCTAATATGCTAATGAGCTATGCTCTCGTGGGTGTGGCTGGATACGCTAATGAGTTTCTGTTGTTGGGTGTGGCCTATTATGCTAATGAGTTTCTGCTGGGCTTTTTCTACAAAAAAAGCCCTGCAAAAACCTAAAGAACATTATATATCTACTAACAGAAAAGTCCACCGCTACAGAGACCTATTCCAATGCCGTAGACTCTCTTGCTCCTGATAAGAGACTGACGGAGGTTGCAGCCGTTGTAAATGATGAGAGATGCAGCAGGCTGTTATGTTCTCTACACAAAGTGATTCAGCAAGCATCAAAGCAGGCAACACGCCCCCCCCCCAGGCAAAAATTGCGTGTTTCGACAGATTCTTCGTCAGGCAGACGTATTTTTCCTGGAACCAAGGCTCACAATGCTACAGTGCACAAGTCAACAGATTCTTCTTCAGGCAGAGATATATTTCCTGGAACCAAGGCTACAGAATTGTCGACGTGACAGCCTGCTGCATCTCTCATCAGTTATGACTGCTGCAACCTCCATCGGTCTCTTAACAGGAGCAAGCAAGAGAGTCTACAGCATCGGAATAAGTCTCTGTAGCGGTGGACTTTTCTATTAGTAGATATATAATGTTCTTTAGGTTTTTGTACTATAATGAAGGTGTATAAGATATAGTAGGGTCTCCAGGGGTCACTTCCTGCAGTAGCGCACAGGAGCAGAGCTTCGGCAGTAAAGAGGCCAGGGGGTGGGCACATGCAACAAGCCCCACCCCCTGCTCCCAGCAGCCCTCAGTCAGAGCAAGAAGCAGCCAGGTAAGCTGCAGAGTTCCCCCCAGCCCCTTGGTCCAAAACAGTCCAGTGGCCCCTTTAAGACCAAGGTACAAGCTCTCCTTCCTCTGCAAGGACAGACCTGCATGCCCCCCCCCCCAATAGCTAGCACTCCAAAACATTCCAGTGGAGCCTGAGCGGTGGGTGTTGCCTTCTGACACACTTCCGGTAATGTCAGGGGGTGTGGCATAGGCAAATAAGTCATGCTAGTGAGTTATG